CCTCTAATCAACCTCTTAGACAGCCTCATCTTGTATGAGCTTTTTTTTCAAAATATGGCCTTTCAGAACAATTTCCAGGAACAAATATAAAGCTAAACTAAATAGCCACAACAAATTGCAAAAAAAACACGCATATATATACATGTATAAAATACACACCCTTATAAGTTAAATGCTTAAACACAAACAACAAACACTTACTGTAATAAACAATTGCAAGCACCACAAGTTGCAACCACAACACGGCTGCACTTTGGAGACACTTAAGCCCCAAACCCTGGTTGTTTAGTCTATTCACAAACACGAACTTTATAGTCTGAAATCTTCAACTATTGTTATGTATTTCTTTATAATCCAAAAACACACTTATTGTTTTATAGGGTCGGTTGGGAAGATACGCCGAGAAGTGTTGAACAGAAGGACAGGCGATTGAGTTGGAAGAATAGGTTGGGAAAAGTTAGATTGCGAGAGTAGGACGTAAGACTGGAAGAATCTACATTCAAGGCCAGGTTGCACCATTGTGGTGGTAAGGAGAATGACGCAATTCAAACACTGAGAAGAACAAGAGGCCCAAAAAAACGGTGCACTCTCCTTTGTGGAGGATGTTCAAACAAAGCTTCAAACGACATCAAAAAGATTTCATCATTTTGCAGGTGTTTCCAATCAATATACATGAGGATTTCGCGGCTTTTGAAGGCCAGTCTCACCGCAAACTGCCATGACAGAAATACTGAGAGAAAGACTATTGCCTTTGCAAGTGCTTTCTTGCCAGGCGCCTTCTTGTACATTTGGTGTTTGATTGCAGAGTTTTGATGTACTTACGGTCCAAGTGTTGGTCGACCCATGTTGAAAGCACAAATCATCTGCCGACCGCCGAGCCATCGCCCCCTTTTTCCACCGGCTCCTTCAGTTGATCGTTTGGAGGCCTAAGAAGACTAGCCGCTTGATGCGAAGTGGTGCACTTGCTCTGTGAGCTCATTGCTTCTAGGGAAATGTGGTGCCAAGCACTTGCAGTGGTGTTCTGCTTCAAGAGATTCTTTCTGATAGTTGTTGGAAATTAGTAAGTGATCTCACAAGAAAGCCAAACTAAACAAACCTGCGCATCAAAACAAAACAGCCGCAACGCCGGAAGAAAACCAAGCAGCAACGATTGGCCTGGCAAGCGCACGCCGCGAGCCGCCAACTCCTGTGCTCCGGACCAGGGTTGATTGAGAAAAGGTCGCCAACATGAACTTCAAAACCATTAAAACTATATATCTTCTAAATGAATCCTCTGTAAGGAGTTGGTTTCGCCCAGCGTCGTCTAAAGCTATTTCTATTGTATTTGTCACAAACTCATACCCTTCGGCAAACGCTCCACTCTACTGTTAAAAAAGACCCGCCCCACTTTGTCCTCCAATATGCAAGCTTTGTAGTCCTCACAATGGCTGGAAGGTTGTCACAGCCATGCCCCCCCGAAAAAAGCTTGGATTCATATGTTGGATTTTTAACCTCCCAGCCCCGAGTGTGACGAACCCCCAGAGGTAACGATGTCAAAGCTACCCTTCTCCGACAAACACAGCAAACTATGCAGTAGCACCCAGTGACTTGGGGTGTCACGACGTGGCATTCCGACAAATATTCAGAACTGCCAAGAAAAGTCAAAAGACTCAATCACGACCCCAAAAAGGCAAGAGACTGATGCCCAGAAGGCCTTCCAGTTGAGAACCTGATTCGATCTTGTGGTCTCCAAAAGGGAATCACTACTTTTTGGGGAATCATGAACTTCCTCGGTCTTCCAAAACAAGCTGCTCAGAAGCCCGCCCACACTTGAGTTGACACTATTTTCGACGACATCTCCGCCTCGAATTGGTCATCACAGGGGTTGTTGAGCTGATGACGCAAGAAGCCCTCAGCAGAAATCAGTGCACGTTGCCATGATTTGCCATGCAACACATCTTCATTTGACTTTAGCTCATGTTTAGAGGCACACGGTAAATAGCCCCAGCTAAATAACAAATGTCCCCCCCAAAAGCCTGAACAACATAAAGCAGGTCGAGGAAACATATCAAACATTGCCAAACTACGACAGAAACGACAGGGAAATATTTCACCTCATTAGCGAACAAATGGCAGACCGCCACTTGCTGCACTGCCTGGCAGGCGAAACCCCCAAACAGTTCATTGCAGCACCGCTCCACCGCAGCTTTTCGTTCCTTGTGCTGTAGGCCTGATACCTCTGCAGCAACTCAGCGGTTTCAGAGGGTGTGATGAGGAAACAGCCCCTCACAGGGTCCAAGCGATAGATCTGCTCCTGTCAGCTGAGTGCAAAAAAAAGCCTGAAGAAAGCAGACCTCACACGGTGTCACCACATTGTTGGACCACTTCGCCTAACATGTTGCGGACAAGGGGCAATTTCAATGAACATTGTATTAATGTGCAAACAACTTAGATTCTGCTTGACAAAGACTGAACCTAGAATTTCACTTTCCAACGCTGGTGCTCTTGGCGTCCACCTTCAGTCAAAAAGTGAGCCAAAATGATGGATGAGCCCCAAGCACCATCAATCAATCTTTGACGCCACAACACTGTGGCAAACATGCCCAAGAGCATCAATTGAGTGTAGGTTCTTTGAATATGGATGAATTCGTGTTCGACCTGGAACTATCAGATTCAATGGCACGGTTGAGAACATCTCCTGTTTCACTCAACCCTCGCTTAGTTTTGCCTTGAAGCAATTTCTTCTCTGATTTGATGCCGGCAACCGCTGCCTTGCCACGCCGCAAGGTGTGCCAATGGCCTTTAGCATCTGGAGTCACTTGTCCCGGGCGTTCGTAGACCAAAAGGCCTGACATAGGAGAGGCAGCGAGCCAAACACTGGTGTGAAATATCAATATATAGAAGTGAAGCTGCAGGATGCCGTTAAAATCACCCCAGGCTTGACACCACTATCATGGACTTGGAGTGGTACAGGAAGAATCAAACAAACAATCATGGAACCCAACAATATCATGAGACACACCCACGTAAGAGAACGCAGGGACGCAACAAAACTCCACAGAAGAGGTAGTATGATAGCTTCTTGAGAACTTTCACGCAGCCAGCCTGCCCCAACCTCCATCTCCAGAGTGTGCCTGCACAAGACGAAAGATGAAGAAATGGAGCAATCGTCAAAGGGCAAAGTGGCTACTCCCTCGGGGTGTTGCGCTCATGCGCTCCTTAAGACATCCCATTTGCACCATGTTTTCCATCGATGTTCCTTTTCTCAGCCTGGGCTCCAAATGTTGCGCTGCCCATCTGGATGCTTGCCTTGGGCGGGAAACTATTGGCCATGGAAAACTTACCAGGAATCTCATTGAGAAGAGCACCCACCCTTTCCATGTACAGTATCAATGCAAAAAACGAAACTCCCAACTCCCAACCCCTTCCTGCCTTTTACTCCCTGTACTCCTCACGCTCTCATTCGTTTGCCTCCGCCCTCTATCTTCTGGAACTCGTGGTCGTGAACTACTCCGTTGTACAAGAATTTGATTGGACATTGGACTTGTGAATCATGTGTCAACCTTCGAGGGCACAGTGGTTGACAATATGTGATCAATGTGCATGTGTAGACACAAATAAAGGTCTACTTCTTGCATCCATTCTGTAAAACCCCTCTCTCAACCTGATCAAGTTGCAGAATGCCGATATCATCTTTCATTGGGCGAATATGTTTGGGAAAAAGGTTTCACATCGGGCAAGGTGGGCAGTTCGGGTAGCGATCAGAATTGGACCCACCAAAGACTTCATAGACCCGATTTGTCACCTCCAGGCTGAAAGGTCCCAAAAATGGATCCATCCGGATGACTAAAACAGTTTATTACATTTATTACTCTTCTTTTTTGCTGAACCCTTTTGACATGAGAATAACAATTGAAACCAATTCGTCTGCGGTGCTCGGTAGTCATTTCTGGCACCTCCAGATTCAGCCCCGCCATCTTGGCCTCGACCGTCGCTCCATTCGTGCCGGAGATGCGAAAAAACTCGAGTTGACACAGACACACAAGTAAGCCTGGCATTATGCCTTTTACACAAAGAAGAACACTATGTTAAAAGGCATGCCAGTAAGCCTTTTAACATGCAAATCTGCCCGAGACTAAGTACATACAAACTGTCTTGGCTATCTTGGGTGTCATTTGTCAGTGTCCCTGTCACCATGCATCATCCAAACTATTAAGTCACCATGTTTGTATGGAAAACTGCAAACTTGCTCTGATTTGTTCTTCCCTTGATGGTTTTCTCAAGTCTTTAAGTCGCAGGGGCAGCTTGTCGGAGGCAATCAGCTGAATCGAAGTCAAAGTCGATCCCATCCTGGTCAAGAAAGAAAGGTTGGACAAAGAATCACCAATCAACCGACTCTTGGTTAAAAGGGCGTGCAGCTACCTGCAGCTGTGGTAGGTCATGGTACCGCACTGAGTTGAGATTGGGAATCGGGAAGGCCTCAACAATTATGGGGACTATTGTTCAATTTTATCTAGGAATAAGTGCATCGCTACTAGTAACAAGTGCCTTACTACTAGGAACAAGAAGCTGGTAGAAACAATAAGTAAATAGAAACAATAAGTTAGGAACAAGTGCATTGCTACATTTTATCTTCCTTTCCACGACAATTTAACTTGGGCACCCACGACTTGACTTCCACATGGACTCTTCCAGCCCCCCGAGACTCCCGACCAATTCAGTCCTCGGGCATCGCTCGGTGCCCCAGACCGTCCGGATGCCGAGCAATCCGCCGGCGAGCTGCGCAAGAGGCCACGTCCAGGCGGGAGGGGTCATGGTGGCTCCGAAGAATCACTGCGACATCCTCAGGCTTTGGACGTCTTGGGTTCGATTTGAGGGAAACCGTCAACCAAAAAAACAGCACGCCTGACATGAGAAAATCCACCAATTTCCCGACTGACTGTCGAGGGAATTTATGGGAATATGGCACATGGGAAGAGGATACAAACAAAGTTCGAATTGTTTCTCAGTGTGTTTTCATTTTAAGGTCCTGCTGTTTTCATGCTTAGATAAGTTTCAGTAAGGTCTTTCTCTTTTTCGATGAGACATCGTCAGCTTCCCTCCTTGTGGCCAAGTTGTTGTGCCAATTGCTGTGGCGCCAAGCCAAAATGGTTCACCGATTGCTCAACGTTGTAGCGCAGCAAGGCACAGCAAGCCTGGACCGCATGGTAACCTATCTGATTGACCTCTTTGGCAGCTTCGTGTGGCTCTTACCACTAAGTAACGTGTAGCCTGGTTCAAACATGTCCGTGGCAATCAAATTCAAATGTCTATAAATGTCTATAGTGCACACCTTCGGGTGTTTCAACAAAGTCTGAGCGGGTGGAATCGCTCCGAAGTTCAAGTGTGCAAACGGGGTGGACCCTGGCTTAGACTTTTTGCTTCTAGAACGCGTCTCTGTAGATGCCAAGCCTCCTTTTGCCCGGTCCGCGCGCAGTGGTGCAAGGGCGTGTCCTCATTTGTTGGTGCAGGAAACTGTTCAGCTTCAAACGCAAGTGCAGCATCGTAGCCGCAGGAAATCACACCTAGAACGCTTCCTGTGCGTGTGTGCGTGTGTGCACTATCCACTGGAATTGTGAGGGTTTCAAGAAACTTTGGAGATGTAGACTTTGGTGCGATACTGCCTACGTGCGGCTGAGGGAATATCCCCAAGAACGTCAGCCCCGCACCAGGCTCCGAAGGTTTGGGATCTCTTTCAGTTGAGTGCCACGTGGCCCCACGCTCGTCTTTGGAGTTCAACATGGGACGGCAGCCTGGCGATTGCCCAATGTGGACTTCAGCCGATAAGAACGCAACAGGAAAACAATATATAATACTACATTACTACATGATACTACATCTTGATCTTGTCGTTCCAAGCTCTAACGAGGTCCAGGTTTGAGGTGTAGCAGGTCAGAGTCGAGTCGATCGGTCCGGTAATCTTTCCCCGCTTCCACACACCACAGCATGTCCTCAGCAGTGCAAGCTACAATTCCTTTGGACCTCTCGTCTTAAAAAAAAAATCCCTTTTGTAAAGTCCCCCTTGCAGCAACCCCACCTAAAGCCTAGCCTTGTTGAATTGTTTTCCAATCTTTGCCAGTATTGAAAACATTTGAAAGAAACTTAAATACCTTCAAGGTGAGGGTTGCGTTAGATGAAGCAAAGCTCGCATTATCCTCGCTGACATGGCCTTGCAACGTGTTCTGCAAAAACATAAGAAGAAAAAAGACGACATATACAACGCACAATTATAGAGAATCGACATGTTTTTTTGATCGCGCGTGTTTCTGTGTGAGGGGCTCTCCTCGCCTGGCGTGGCGCCACAGCGTTCCAGCCACCAAACGCGATCATTGGCAGCTGCGTGGTGAGCCATCAAGGGGCTCTGCAAGCTCCCTGGAAAACTTGACGTCGACTTCTCCTGGCTTGATTAGTTACCAACTCGTGCGTGATCTCTGTATCGCATCCAGTGCGAGATCGAAAAAAAAGAGATCAGGATCCTGGCATGTCTGAAACTAAGCCTTCGGAATATATATATATACATAGTTTCAGACATAAACTTCCAAAATTAACAAAAACAATACTTAGAAAGGAACAAAAACCACATACTTAGAACATGTGACATACCAAGAATGCATCTAGAAACGCCTTACTTAGAACATCGGGGAAAGTGATACTTAGAACATGTCATGTTGGAGCCACATTCTGAACACCATTGTCAATAGAGTCCTGTGACGTCCGCACACTTGGAACATAGGTTCCACAATCATTGCCATTTGCATTTCCTTTGATTTATGTTTGCATCATGGGACTTAGAACATATGTTCTCTTGTGTCCCATCCCCCAAAGTCCTTCCAGCCCTGCAGAAAGCATACACTTAGAACATCCCTACCCACCTGCAAGACGTTCTTGGCATTTGCTGACTAAGTCATATACTTAGAACATTTCTCGCGGGTCTCTTGGAAAAAAACATATCCAAAATATGTTCTAAGTGTTTGTCCGTGAGTATATATATATACACACATCCTTGTGGATTGGGAAGCTGGCCCTGCCAAACCTAATAAATAGATTGAAAGAGCGAGCGCATGTGTGATTTCTGCAGATTTCTGAGCAAACAAACAATCAAACGAACAAGCAAAGAAAGAGACGGTCAATATGGATCAATATGGACCCATGGAAAGTTGTGGGTTCGCGCTGTGTACTCTGAAAATGCAACTTGTGAAGACTGGGGTTTGGGGCAAGTATCTAGCGAGTATCCGAATACCGAACTTGATCTTCCCGAACTTGACAGTAGCTGGTTTAGCTCAGCTCCTTCATCCCTTCTAGTGCCCTTCGGAGGGTCCGCGGCTGCGGTGGAGCAGACTCAGGTGCGAAGGTCCGAAGGTCGCCATCGGGGCGGAGCCACCTCAGGCGATAGTGTTTTTGGTTTGATCGCCGTGAACAAATCGTTTAGCAACTTCGTGAAGCACCAAGCATGAACAAATCCGTAGCAACACCCAACCTATGCTTAGTGGAGCTTGCGGTGTGACTGTGCTGAATTGAATGACCAAACGTCAGGTATGCCATATGCCCTCGTTTGAGGTCAAGCTACTCAGGTCCAAGTCGATGGCGTACACCGATCCGTTCAGATGTGAGGAATTTCCAGATGCCCAGCAAGAAAAAACCGGCCGAGAACGCGCCCACCACTGTGTACCTGAGTCGCTGGGAACCCTGAAGATCCATTTGAATGTGTTTAGAGTTCTTTATTGGAAAAAAAGATTACTAGCCAGGTTGGATTGGGACTAGGTTCTTCGGCAAAAGTAAACCTTGACTGAAAGAAAGCTACTAGCGCGCTTGAGAAGCGCCACTAAAGCGTCGGACCTTTACCTGATCTTCCTGCGAAAACAAACTCAGGAAAAACATCAATCGCGCCCTCTAGTGGTAGCGCTGCCATGGGACACTGTCTCCTGGGGTAAACCTTCCACTGGAACGCCGCCACGAGCTTCGTACACGAAATTCCGCCTCATGTGCTCGCGGAAGGAGAATCGACGTTCCTCAGAGCATGGCGGAAGACGTGGGTCGAAAGCAAGCACAACAAGTATTCTTTCGGCCCAAGGGATGCAATGAAGATCTAGATTCTAGAGCACCCCATAAACTATTTTGGTATAGACATGTATAAACGATGCTGTCAACCTGTCTCAAAACACTCCAAAAAATAGATCCCGACAAAAGTACTTTATTTTGTCATGGTCGTTTTCTTCAAAGCCACAGAGTTGGCCTTCTCATAATCCCTTGAAACCGATAGGAGCACATTGAGCCCATTCCCACACTTCACCAGAATCAGCAAGAGTTGGTCTATGCCACCAACACGTGCGATTCTGGTTCCCAACACAAAAAGCAAACGCCACGGGATATCCGGAACCAAAAACACAAACAAACCAAAGTTAAAACACACCATTCCAACTTGTTGGAACGGTGGAGCTCGAGACCTTCTGCTTTACTATCCTAGAATCCATGGATGCCAAATGAGCAGCGGACAAAATTACTTGTGTAGCCAAATACCATTTGGCATGATTATCGTTTTTGGTGGGGCCCATATCGTTCTCCAATGTTTCTCCAAACCGTAGTTAGCATAGCATACCGGCACATAGACTAAAACACAAAATCCACTCACAACCTCAGATTAAGGCTTACAGTGCTTTCTGCACAGGAACGATACAGCACTTGATTTATGTACTGTACTTGGGTTCTTGTGGCACTGGGCTGTGCAAGGATCACAACACATAAGCGGGGACCTAGTAGCTCGGCCCATGAACAAACACTAGTAATGTGGAGAAGTAGGTTTACGGAGTGCCTGGCGTGACATTTAGGTTATCGTTCGCTTATCGTTTGGATTATCGTTCGGGAAGTTGTCTGGGATTATCATTGATGAAAAGTTGCGCCCATCGGTTTAGCTCACGTAAACATGTATATAAATGCAATATCATATTGTAACCACAAACGTCTTTGTACCCACTACATATTAACAAGGTTATCGTTCTTGGTGGAGACCATATCGTTTTCCACAGAAACAAAGCCCTCAACATAGGTTTAGGGTCATGCCGTGACTAAATAAGTCAACCAATAATTTTGTCCGTCGCTCAAATGGCAAAACAATACCATCTACAGTATGTTTACAGAAGGAACCAGGATTACAACGCATCTGCGTTTGTTTGGTGTTTGTGGACAGAACACTGAAATGATTTGATTCTTGCCTACAATGTAAAGGTAGGAATTCGGGTCCACTGACTTTGCACAACAACTCCGTCACCAGCTTGTAAAGAGCGCCAGGAATTTGTTTACTGTTCATGTCTTTACGGGCAGCTTGTTTTGGAGTGTCCGCTGGTCGTTTCACAGGGCGGTTTTGGATTAAACTGCTTGGACAGCTTTAAGCTGCGCTCTTGTAGGATGGTAGTGGTGACAAGGTGGGAAGTGACCGTTCTCCCCACCTTTCTTTTCGACAAGGCCATCGTCGCTGACGTTCTTTTGCACAAAACACTCCGCAGTTGTGCACTCGTCACAAAATCGACCAAACCGCAACGTCAACATCAGTCCTTTAGGTGCCGATGAGCCAGAAACCATGAAGGAAACTTGTTCGATCTCTATCAGTCTGCCAACAATTTCTTCCTTGGGCCCCATCTCAGAAGACTTCTATGGGTTTCTGACATGTGAGGTGATGGTAGAGCTCAGCACCGGGCCAAAAACGCATTTTGTGCTTAACTTTGCACTCTACTTCTTTGATCTTCTTTGATCTTCTTTGTATACCCCATAAATGCCATTGTCAACCTCGCTTCCACTGACAAATACTGTCACGTTTTCTTCCAAGCTGCCCTCTCTTGTGATCTGGCGCTCCAGGCCGCCGCCGACCACTTCTGATTCTCAAAGCCGTTTTCTCCTTCTTGGAAAGCACTCCGAACGGGACTGCGAAATATGCTGCAAACGAATACGACAATACCAGCACAGGCTCCACTGCCTCCACCTTTTTGCCACCCCACAGCAAAAAAGCGGACTCGATGTGACTGAACGGGGGGGTATATAATTGTTGCAGCCCAGCCCAAAGGCTGCTGCAGCAGCTGTTTCTGCAGCTTCGGGACATCAAGCTAGACAACATCTTCTTGACATTTCTTGACTGGGTATTAAAGTCGAAGACTTGGCTTTGGACGGGCCGGCTTGTCTGGGGACGTCTCCCCCACTCCCCAGTCCAAACTCAACCAAAATTCGGCAGAACGAGCACCTCCAAGCTTCCCAAATCCAAAGCACACGCAGGCTTTTTCACGCAATGTAGAGAGTCATCCTTCCTTATTGTGAGAACAACCAATTTGGTAAACTCTATATTTGTGTTGCAGCTTCTTGCTTTGTGACTTCTATTTTCCAATCGGCTGGCCTGAGAAAGGAGGAGGTTCTCCACCAAACTTGGCCTTCCTCACTTCAGGACGACGAACAGACGACATCAGGATTGCTGCCAAAGTACAACCTACCTGAACCGCAGAATGAAATTCATTATCAAAATCATTCAGGAATGCTTTTCCATGAACATGTTGCATCTCACTTATAATATGTACATTCAAGAAACCGGATACCAGTTGATAGGCAAATCTTTGGAAAAAAACAGGTTTGGTGCCTTCAACAGAATAATACTGTAGAATATTCACAACACCTTCCAAACTCACCCAAACATCCAATTAAGAACCCCTACTGGCCCAGTAGAATCCTATCACAAAACATAACGAAAAACACCCAAAGATTTTGAAGGCAAACGTGACAACAAATTCAGGATACAGTTGTACTAACCTCAAATACAAACACCGCCATGCTGTTGCACCACGTGGGTTTAGGTGATCGAGAAGCTGCTCCATTAGCTTCAAGGCCTCCTCAAAGTCAGCACGAAGGCATGCAAACTCCTCCGTGGGTCTGTCGGCGCTGGGTCACCCAGTCGGAGTGTTCGCAGAAACTGGTACAGCGTGCGCTTCAGCGATTTCTCTACGACTCTGATGCATCCAGTCCCAAATGGCATCACCAGACTCCCCGAAATGGTAAACCCCTCTGGTTGAAAAAACAAAATTGAGGAACATGCCTTTATACATCAGCTCCACACCTGGCGTTCATTGCGTTCGAAATAAATTGCTTGCTTCGCATCTTCAATCTTTAAGCATCTCTAGGTGGTCTCAAGTTACCCGTCCTCAGCGGCAGCGGTCTGTGAGGGATTGCAATCCGGATGCAGCTGCTTGGCCTGCCTTTGAGCTCATACGCAAAAGAATTGTCAGGTGAATGGATTTGATGTGTGGGGGAGGCTTTTCCTAAACACTCCGATCTCGGACTCGTCTCCTTCCTTCTCTTTGCGCCTGAAATAGGCCTTTCGCAGGTCGCTGCTGCTCGCCCCCAGTGGCAACTGAAACTGTCGGAGGAGCTGCGCGAGGCGAGACATCCTCGCATTCGGCAAATGTCAATCGCAATCTTGAAAACCAAATGGTTGAGGCTCAGCTCAGGAGGCTGCGAAAAGACACACGCTTGTGATTGGTGGGGTGGGCATACCGGCAATCTGTCAGCTTGGCTTCTTTGGATTGCACAAGAGCGTGCTGCGTCCACCTTGGGAAAGCGTTTTTTAGCGGAGGCGTTGCCGTCAGGTTGCTTTGTCACTTGTCGGGAGAGCAAACAGATCATTTATTCAGACGTAGAAGGTAGAGACAGGTGACACAACCAAATCAAATCATTTGAATAAGTTTAGAGTTAAAGTTATCAGAATAAAGGTGACAACCTTTGGGCACATGACAGTGATGAGTGATGAGGGACATTGTTCAATCGCCCTCATGAAAGTCCTGCAGCGGGATTCGCAAAGAAGGCGACATCGCACACGCAGCGCAGTTTTGGCCGTGTGATCTTATGCATGATCTGAACATTCTAACGTTTTGGCAAAGAAGAGTCAGGTGCTTATTGTGACGAGACCGCCTGCATGACGCTTCAAAAACATCCCAACTCACACATCTACAATATAGAAAATGCGACTGTTGGCTGGTCAACGTCTATGTTGAGACCCGGCAAACCAGGACTCGTCAATGCCTCTTTGGCAAGCTATCATAATTTCATTCGGTCTGTCAGCTTCAGCAAGTGCGCTAGTGCCGCAACACTTAGGTCCTTTTGTTCCACTCCGTGCCAGCTTGACGCAGTCATAAGTGCAAACTGAGATCGTGATGAAAGGCAATCAAGTCATGGGTCATATTTTTAAAGCTTATATTGCGATTCCTTTTCCAAAAAACAATCTGTTTGCTGGCCTTCTCAAAACAACACATGCCCCATTCCAGTTGTTCTAAGGCCATTGTAAGAAGCAATTCAACACATTTCTTGGACAAACAATCCAGAAGACATTGTCACCAAATCAAACTGTCGAATCTCTGAATTTGAGCTTTAGTGGATGTTTATTTATATACAAGGAATGTTGGTGTGCATCATTCCTCAAAAATCCAAGTTTTGTGGGCACCTCGAACTTCACATTATGGAACATGGAACGTCACTGTGCCTGACGTCTTGGGGATGACAAAATTTGAGAACTCGACCCAGCTTCCACCACGCCCTCCCCTGCCCTGAGGCCGTCGCTTGGCGGTACCAATGATTGAAGCATTTGTCATACCTGACAAGGTCGGGCAAGCGAGATGTACAGGGAAAACTATTTGTGAACTGGGAAGCATGTTGTCGAGGTCTGCTCGATTCCCCGTCTACCTGTCTGCTTGGGAAACAGAAGTCTGGTGCTCCCTTACGAAATATATCCCGGCGAGAGAAGCAGCGCGGTAAAAATGGTAAACATTGAACAATCAACATCTTTACCATTTCCATCCGTTTTCTCTGCAGGCGCGCGAGCGGGCACACCCCCAGCAAAACAACGCGCGCGAACTGGCGCGCATGAATTGAATTCAAGAGAATGGACACTCCCTCTTCTCTACCATGACGATTGACTGCCACACGCCATACGTGAACGGTGATGCAGTGTGAAGCTCTTTTCGAATCTCACAGACCCTCGGATGCACCAAATGAGCTTGACGATGGCTCTGACATTTTCGCTCTACTTGTAAAACTTGATTAAACTTGTATACGATGGCTCATGACGGACCATTAACAAAAACTATGTAGCACTGTCAAAAGCCTAGATAAACAGTTGGGCTTCTTCCATGTATGACCTATGATGCAAACGTAAAACCACCTTGGTGTTGCAAACATACTTCTAAAAAACTGTCCAGCCTGTCTTTAAAGGGTTGGCAATAAGCCACAGCTTCTTTGTACGAACCTGCAACCGCATCCGAAGCCTAATCAACTTGCTACGTGTACTTGCAAATAGATAGGTCAAAATCAGAAATACATCCAAAGAATGTGCACTTGAACACAGTAAGCGGGTTCCGAAGAACTAGAACTACCTCAAAGTCACCGTGCTTTCCCTACTCAATCCACAGCAGCGGTTATTCTCAAGACTTACAAGTTGGGATTGCAGTTATATTTGCTACTAGGAGCAAGGACGCTACGCTACTACTGTAGAATGTTAAGTTTCCCTAAACATCTAGGAACCAAATCAGTGCAAGCTATCCTGCATTCTAAGTAGTACCTACTTGTTAGCTACTAGCTACCTAGCTACTACTAGCTACCTACCTCTAGCCTCTAGCGGCCATCCCCCGGGCTGGAGCTTCTTGACCTCCCCCAGTCTCCATTGCGCAATGAGCGATGCTGTCTGGAGAAAGTCTGATCGAGAAAAACGCCGTGGGAGCTCAACTCAAAGGGTGTTTAGCTTATTCTAATTACAAGCTTCTTGTTTCTACTAGCTTCTTGTTACTACTAGTAGGGCACTTGTTACTAGTAGCGATGCCCTTGTTACTAGTAGCTTATTGAACATTACTTTGTGTCCATGAATTTAGAATCCAGGAACGTGGACATCCATCTGTCTGGAAACTTTGTTTTCTTGCCTCGGGCCTCCAAATCCTATAAGTCATGGGGATCCGCCGTTGAAATTCGGCCAAATCATGTGATGAATTCACTTTGAGCCAAAGCCTGTAGAAGTTCAGAGATGAATTGTATTTTGGGTTTGATGACCTTTTCTTTCTTTTTGTCTCCCTGTGCTATGAGTTTCACCTGTCCCACAAAGACATGCTAAGTAAGCATTTAAGAGCTAACGTGTACAGGAAGTTGTTGGGTAACTACCGGGCAACAATACCATTGTCATCACGTCTGGAAAAACAATGCAGCCAGTGGTAAAGAAGTCTGTCCAAACCATGTGCCTCAAGGCCTTCATTTATGCAGCCTGATGAAATGTCTTCATCCATTTCGATTTCAATCCGATAGTATTTTTGGTAGACTGTACACAGAATGCATAAAGTACCATAGGCTCCACACAGACGTGCTTTTCATCCCTCGGGCTCCTGTAATTCGCCCGAGGCCACCTGCCACCGTGACAGGTTGTCTCTTTAGGTGATGCTTAAGTTCGCAACTCCCACACGTCAATCCAGGAAACAATCCACATCGATGGGAAACTGTACCAGGTTTTCGACCCACACCTCGAACAAATGTGAGAGTGCGTCTATGCAGCGAGATGCTGTTCAGTGATAACCAATCAACCAAAGGTCCGTGCACCCAGTTCCTTCAACAACATTCCAACAGGCTCTTGCAATGATGCCTGGGTACATGCTTTGTGTCTCCCATTGTCTCCCTGTGTGGGCATCGCGGAGTTCCAAGATATAGAATAATTCGGATTACTCCTTTGGTGTAGTCATCTCTACTTTCCAATGTGCCTGATCCATGTCACGAGCACTCCGCACCGCTGGCGGTGGCATCGTCACACCATAAACCTGGCATACTTAAGAGTACAGCTGGGGAAGTGCGACTGGCAGCGATGATATGACCCAAAGGACACGTGAAGACACAAGGTACGGCACTGAAGCTGTTGGGCCCAGCTACATTACCATCAACCTTGCAACATGGACGAAACCAAAGTGCATTGAGTTTTCCAATCACAAAAAAGAACAAGTTCAACCAACCAGGCACACCCCTCAATGTATAAATTCTGGCAAAAGCCTGCCAACAACACTCATATAGGAGGATTTGTTCGTTCATGTTCATTCCATCCGTTTCATGTAATTACAACTTCTAATGACTACATATTCTAATGTTAAGTTTCCCAAAAAATCTAGAAACCAAATCAAATTCAGTAGGGAGAGAGCGGTGGAGAGCGAGCAGGCTAAAAAAGAACATTTCCACTTCCTTGGGTCAATCCCAAAGTTTCAGGCTCAACAAAGTTGAAGTCCACCCTCACAGACCCACGCAGCTTCCGCACCATGTCTCTGCCGAACATCACTTTGTTCCACCCATTCCGCTTTTCCTCCTCGTTAAGGGTGGGACTACATGGTCCACCACCAGAAGTATACAAACATTATGAGGTCATATCGGTACCCTGCCCAGAAAATATTGACGTTGGCCACGTCTCCAAATAATCTCAGTTTCAAGGCGTTTTCCAAATGATTCCAGGAAATTCTGGGTATCTGACACCCAAGTGCTGGAAATGACTTTTTGGGACCTATACGTCAAGTGCAAAAATTATTACCAGACCACCTTACAATGGTTGAAACAAACTATTTCGTGTCGTGACCCCCACCCCTCAAATTGCCCAAGGGGGGCCCGCATTCTCCGCACCTTGCGCCGCTTGGCCTCTGCCTTCGGTGCATTCAGGAATTGCAAGCCCGCCTCAGCGAGGTAACACCCTACTGCGAGGCTTGGGGAGACAGAAACGGGTTGACATATCTAGGAGTAATATCGGACGGAAATGAGCATGGGCGTCGAACGTTTGTTAGCGTGACAAATTCAGAATTGGTGCTCCAACTACAAACTCCGAACCGAATAATGAAGATTGACTCCAAAAGAACAGGCTAGTATCAACAAACTGATAAAGGGAACCAATTACACGAAGATGAGGCAATCAACATGTCCAGGTCATTCAGTTGCAACGCTTTCCTACGTGAAGGTCAACGCAGTGGGTGTGACTGTTTCAGGATCTAAGTCCACGCATGAAAAACACCTAAAAAATATGGTCGTTGTCCAATATTCTTGTTTATTGAAACGGCAATTCTTCGCGAAAAAAACATTAACATTCGCGAAACTTTCGCGAACCCTGTGTTTTTCTTTCGGGGGGTTCACCATGTCATGAAACCATTTAACCTGGTAGGGACTCGATTTCTAAATACAAGTGCACGGAGTGTTTTTGGCACATGTTGTTAGAGAAAGCATCTGCGCAAGGACGTTGGATGATGAAGTTTGTGGGGTTGCTATGGGCTACGGGGTTCCTCTGGATACGGGGTTCCTCTGGAGCCGATTCATTCGCCGAAACCTTCGCCAGACTTTCGCGAAACTTTCACGAAAATTTCCCTGTGCTTTGGAGGTTTTTACGGCATACATAACATAGGGTGGACTACATGAAACAGGAAGGAAGCTTCACACGGATTCCAAAGTTGAAGCTGCTGAAAAAAACATACTTTCGCGAATCTTTCGCGAAAAAAACATTAACATTCGCGAACTCGAAAAAAAACTTTCGCGAGACCCACGATCATGTCATCCAAGGCTCTCGACATTAAAAACCCTTACAAGGACCTTTTGGATAACTCCCATATATCTAATAGGCCTATCCAGCACAGTCGAGTCCACCACGACCCACCTTCTCTGGATCGATGTGTGCTTCTGGCTTTCCCTGGCGTGAGACCGCTTCACGGTCGAACCAAAACAAACGTCAAGAACCAAAACGTGGGCACTATTGACCAGCATGGGGTGTGGCGGATTTGAGCTGCCTGAGGGACCAGCAATACCAAAGACCCGCAAGAATTGCAAGGAAAGATTGCTAGCGGCATGTCGATTGGGGT